AGGTTATTCCCGGGGTTTTTTTGGTCATTCCTGTTTTTTTGAGAGATTTCTTGGGGTTTTAGGGGTAACTCCAGTTTTTTTGGAAGGGTTTTTCCCATTTTTTGGGGCCATTATTCCCAGTTTTTCAGGGAGGTTTTTCCTCATTTTTTAGGGATTATTCCCGGCTTTTTATGGGTAATTCCCGGTTTTGGGGGGATTATTCCTGGGTTTTTTAGGGTGTTCCTGTTTTTTTGGGGAATCCCAGAGATTCGCACAGGGATGGGAAAAGCCGGGATCCGGGAATCCCCCGCGATCCCAAACTCCATCCCGGACCCCAATCCCGCTTTTTTTTTGGTGGGAAGAGCGACTTTTTGGGAAAATCCTGATCCCAAACCCAGGGATCGGGACCGGGAGCCGCTTCCCAGAAAATCCGGGACGGGAAAATTCCCTGAATCCCGAAATTCCCGGAGGATTCCCGCTCAAGGATCCCCGGGACGGGTCCGGGTAAAATCCAAAGGAAAAACAAAATTCCATGGGGGGCGAAATTGCGGTTTTGGGGCCGGGAATTCCTCGGGAAATCGGCCCGGGATGAGAAATCCGGGAATGGGCGCGGTCCCAGGGTTATCCCGGGATTTTGGGGAAGGAATTCCCGGCCGGGCTGGAATTCCCAGGGAATGTCCCAGGATGGATTTGGGATCAGGGGAGGGGCTGCAATGGGATGGGATGGAAGCTCCGGGAATCCCATCCCAACCATGGCGGGATTGTGGGATGGAGGACGCTCCGAATCCATGGCCAATTTTTGGGGGGTTATTCCCATTTTTTGGGGATTATTGCCGTTTTTTAGGGCCTTATTCCCATTTTTCGGGAAATTATTTCCATTTTTGGGGGTTACTCCCATTTTTGGGGGTTATTCCCATTTTTTGGGGGGATTCTTGCTTGTTTTTAGGGGATTCCCATTTCTCGGAGAATTATTCCCATTTTTGCGGGTTATTCCCATTTTTGGGGGTTATTCACATTTTTTTTGGGGGGGATTATTGCTGTTTTTTAGGGGATTATTCCCATTTTTCGGGAAATTATTTCCATCTTGGGGGGTTATTCCCATTTTTGGGGGGATTCTTGCTGTTTTTTAGGGAATTATTCCCATTTTTCGGGAAATTTTTCCCATTTTTGTGGGGGTTATTCCCATTTCGGCCTGGATCCCGAAATTCCTTGGCAGGGAGGAGTCGGGGTGGGGATGGATCCGATCTGGGGCTGGGAGAGCCGGGAATGGAGGGAATTCCCTGGGAAAGGGGGGATTCATTGGGATCTTGGGAAGGAATTCCCAGGGAATGTCCCGGGATG